TCACTGGGTTGTTTGTTTTTCGGGCGTGTAGTTTGGTGAGTTCCTTATAGATTCTGGATATTAACCCTTTATCTGATATGTCATTTGCAACTATCTTTTCCCATTCCGTTGGTTGCCTATTAGTTTTCTGAGTTGTTTCCTTGGCTGTGCAGAAGCTTTTAATCTTGATGAGGTCCCAATCATTTATTTTTGCTCTTGATTCCCTTGCTTTTGGGGATGTGTCAAGTAAGAAGTTGCTGCGGTGGAGGTCAAGGAGGTTGTTTCCTGCTTTCTCCTCTCGGGTGTTGATAGTTTCCTGTCTCACGTTCAGGTCCTTTATCCATTTTGAGTTTATTTTTGTGTATGGTGTGAGAAAATGATCTAGTTTCATTCTTCTGCATGTTGCTGTTCAGTTCTCCCAACACCATCTGTTAAAGAGGCTGTCTTTTTTCCATTGGATACTCTTTCCTGCTTTGTCAAAGATCAGTTGGCTGTACACTTTTGGGTCCACTTCTGAGTTCTCAATTCTGTTCCATTGGTCTATGTGTCTGTTTTTGAGGCACTGCTATTTTAAAGCTTACTTCAAAAGTTCTGTCTTCATTTCAACACCAACTGCCCCACCAAGCCTATCTCCTTCAGGAAGCTTTTTTGCTTCATTTGTTGCAATTCTGATTTGGTTGCCCCTAATCTGACATTCAATTATTTTGTCTGGCATACCAATCTTTAGCACACAAAGAACTTTAAATGACTCAGGGCAAACACAATGATTTGCTTTTTCTAAACTAAAGGCTTTCATCTAGTTCTTCTTTGCAAAGAGTTAATTTATTTTGTCGTTAAAAATAGATTAAATTAAGTCTTGATCTGTTTATAGGAATCTAATGCTAACATAATTTATGTAGTTGGTTAATATTAACCTGGATATTGAAAATTTATCCAAATTCAAGTTACCACACTAAAATAACCTCCCTTTGTTACACAGAGCAAATTTATTTGTTTCTTTGACATAACTAATGTCTTATTCTTTATATGATATTAATAATTTTAAAGAACCAATAGCTGCCTATCTAATGCATATTAACTGATAGTAATCTTACTGAAATCTTTATTCCAAGTTCAAATTTACATCAACAAATAACACCAATATTAAAGACACTCAAAGTTGACTTCCTATCTTCTCTGGGGAGGGTAGAAGTGGACAGAAGTCTCTGAATTCACATTTCTAACTCACATTAGTTCATTTCACATAAACTGTCACGTTTTCTGCTGGAAAGCCATCTTCAAACAAATATCTTTCTAAGAAACTATTATTTTCCTAAAATTTTGAACAAGTTTATCTCCGCTCCCTCCAAAAAATTAGAAAATAAAAATTTTATATGCTCTAATAATCAAAGTGTCATGTTTTTAAGTAAACATCAAATCAACTTCCTCAGCATTGTTTTTTAAATTAAAAAAAAGTTATTAAAAAATGTTTGTTTATTCTGAGAGAGACAGAGATGGGGGGGAGGGGGTAGAGAGAAAATCCCAAGCAGGCTCTGGCTGTCAGCACGGAGCCCGACCCAGGGATTGATCTTATGGTTCATGTCATGACCCGAGCCGAAATCAAACGTAGGATGTTTAACTGACTGAGCAACCCAGGCGCCCCCACTTCACATTGTTTTGAAATATTTTCATAATCTGCTTACAGTTCTTTTAAGATTTGTTTATAAAATAAAAGAGTGAAAGACATTGACTTTTAATTACTTCTTGCCCATTCCTTTTTAAATTATCTGAGGTCAATAATAGTTTATAAGACTTGGGAAATTTTTTTTGTTTACATTAAACTTCCTTTTCACTTTTTCACTGGATAGATGTACAATACAATAAAAGCTTTAAAAAAACAACAACTCTGGACTGAACATTTTAGAATATTTATGTTTTGGTATCCAGGTGGAAAACTAAAGATTTAATTAGTATGTTCTAACCAAAACTCTCACGACAAATTTAACTCATTTAATAAGTTATCAATAATGACAGTGGTCATATTAAAAATAGACGATGTTAATAACAAGAAGGAACACCACCAATTATTTAATGTGGTAGGTCATGCTCTGCATACATTCTTTCATCTAGTGCAAACCTTCAAACGCCCAGGAGGTAAGGTTTTAGGGATTTTATTTTTTTAATTTTGACTCTACCCAAAAGGTACCTGTAGGGGGCAGCACATGATTAGGCCTATGTCTCTCTGGCTGTAAAGTAGAGGCTCTTTTCCTCTGTCCAAGGGTAGGCCAAACCTTCCAACCTTCACAAATTTTAATCACATTCACAAAATAACTGATGTATCACTAATATTTTAAGTTGAGTCACCTTTTTATTTTAAAACTTAAGGACATTTAAAGATGGGCACTTGGGTGGCTCAGTTAGTAGAGCATCCGGCTCTTGATTTTGGCTCAGGTCATGATCTCACAATTCACGGGATCAAGCCCCACACTGGGCTCTGCGCTGACAGCACGGAGCCTGCTTGGGATTCCCCCCAACCCCGTCTCTCTCTGCCTCTCCCCTACTCTCACACAGGCATGGGAGTGTACACGTGCGCGCGCTCTCTTTCTCTGTCTCAAAAATAAATACATAAACTTAAAAAGTCAAAGAAAAGACACCCCTCCCCACGCACACCCCCACATAAACTGCCTTACAAGTGAGATGTCCGGCCCAGGCAGGAAGAGTCCCAGTGGAAGCCAGAGGGCAGAGACCAGAAATGCCGGGGCAAAGAGGGGAAGCGGGCAAGGGCCGGTGAGGCGGCTCTCCAGGCCGAGGAGTCAAGAATGAGCAGAGTAACTGGGACGAGGTGATGGTCAGGAGCTGGAGGGCTGGGGACAGGGATGAGGCCCCAGTCTGGTAAGGAGAAGCTGGGCCAGGGAGCCAGCGGGAAGGAAAGGAGTCCGGAGATATCAGGGGGAGCTGAGGCCCAGGGCAGGACACCCAGAGGGGAGACACTGAAGGATGGAGGGGCCTAGGGAGGGAGAAAGGCCCCACATGGTAAGCTGAGAATCAAAAGGCCTGCGGCACACTGTCCTCTTTTTGTTTGTTTTTTAATTTTTAAAAATGTTTATTTATTTTTGAGAGAGACAGAGTGTGAGTGGGGGAGGGGCAGAGAGAGAGGGAGACACAGAATCCGAAGCAGGCTCCAGGCTCCAGGCTGTCAGCACAGAGCCCGATGTGGGGCTTGAACTCACAAACCCGAGATCGTGACTTGAGCTGAAGTTGGATGCTTAACCGACTGAGCCACCCAGGTGTCCCCGGGACACACTGTCCTCTTACCAAGTGTCAGTCTGAGTCCAAAAAGAAGTCAACGTATTGTCCATCTTGGCCATCACTTCCTAGGAGAAGGTGAGCCTCTATGGCTAACAATAGTTTAATAAGCCACACTGCCGGAGCCATTAAGGTGGCCCACTAGCTGCGGACGTCGGCCCCTCTCCCTCAGTCAGGCACTAGTGCAGTCCCGCTTCCGCTGGGCACCCCCGGATGCTCCTGCAGAGCTGTCGCCGCTGGGTCAGCACCACCTCACTGGCACGGGCAGCCACCTAGACCGAAAGCACTGACGCATGCCTGGGACTCACCTTGTGTAATGAATATCCTGACTCAAATATAATAGGAGGAAGCAGGAGGAGGAAAAACATATTTGGACGAAACATCTCTTCTTCCTGTAAATGTAAAATGGGTATTTTCAGAAGCATGGAATTTGTGTAGTTAAATAAAATCCATCAGTGAAGAACCGAAGTAATTGTTCTCATAGGCCCCGTGGAAACATTCAATGTTTAAAAAAGTACCTGATGATAGAACCAAGCAGCAGAAAACACCAAAGACACAACAAAACCGGCGTGAATAAATGCAGGACAAGGGATCTGACAGGGGCCAGCAAAGGAAGTAACAGCATGAAGTGCTTCCGAACACACACTGTAAGCTTTTTATTTTTTACTTAGGAAAGGAAGTTAATAATACAGAAGACACTTCCATCAAAACAGAATGCTTACGAAAAACAAGTCCCCAGCCTGAAACCCTGTAGACAAAAGGTAACAGTAAGCCCTAGAGCAATCCACTTGGAGGAAGAGTAAACCCTATACGTGTTTAAATTGCCGTGGCCTTTTCTCTGCCTGTCACAGATGATGGTGCCTTTGTCCTCAGCCTGGCTGTGATGAGACAGTGTCCATCTGATGCCCTTGGGACTCGGGACATGGCTATAAAGGAAGCCCCTTGCTATGCTTCCAGATTCAAATATTAAGTGCCGTTATGAAAGGTACTTCTAGAATATGGCTATCTTTGGAGGAATGACATCATCATTTCATTTTCTATATTAACATTTCTAATTGTTGGTGCGTTGGGGGGGGGGGAATCCATCAAATCTGAAATGACCACATGTAATACAAAGCCTACTTATTGACACTGCAAAGTAAGGCCTTCTTCATATTAAAATTTCATGCCACAGTCTTGACAGTCTGATTTCTTGTCAAAATCCCTATTCAGAAGAATGGTTAAGTGTATTCTTACAAGTGTACAGCTGTTACCATAAAGCCGAAACAACATTCAGAGGCTCAAACTAGATGCACATGATGACTTCCAAAAATGACTTATTAAGTCTTAAAATAGCTGCCCATGCAACAAGCTCATGCCTCTGACTGGGACTGCTTGGACCACGTGACAAGAAATGGGGTGGATCTCTGGGTTTCGTGGGGCAACGTATTCAGAGCCTGTGCAGTGGGACCACAGTAGAGGACCCACCTGCAGTGGGGTGCACAGGGTCCTCCAGCCTTAATTCATGTCCACCTGGGACCCCAAAATGTGGCTTTCTTTGAAAACAGGGTCCTTGCAGATGTAATTAAGAATCCAGATGAGATCACCCTAATGGATCAGGGTAGGCCCTAAACCCAATGAGAGCGTCCATACAATAGACAGAAGGGGCACCTGGGTGGCTCAGTCGGTTAAGCGTCCGACTTCGGCTCAGGTCCTGATCTCATGGTTAGTGGGTTTGAGCCCCACGTCGGGCTCCGTGCTGACGGGTAGCTGAGAGCCTGGAGCCTGTCTTCGGATTGTGTCTCCCTCTCTCTCTGACCCTCCCCTGCTCATGCTGTCTCTATCTCTCTCTCAAAAATAAATAAAACATTTAAAAAAAGAGAGACAGGAAAGGACACACAGACACAGAGGTCATGTGAAGACAGAGGAGAAAGGGGTTATGTTGCCACAGCCAAGGAATACTTGGGACCACCAGAAGCTACAAAAGCTAATGAAGGATTCTCTCCCAGAGCCTGGATTTGTCCCAGAGGGAACATGGCCCTGCCAACAACCTGATTTCAGATTTCTGGCATCTACAACTATGGAAGAATCACTCTCTGTGGTCTGAAACCAACCAGTGTTGGTAATTTGTTATCCGTGGCCACAGGAAATGCATGTACCACCTTACAGTGGATAGTGTTACAGAAAGATCCCAGGTTCTTTTTGGGAACATCCCCTCCCCCCTCCCCCATATGGTATAAGGTGATTTTCGGTGGTACCTGAGCAGTGGATGTCATACACCACTGACCACCACCACCCCCCCACCCAGATTGAGAAAGTCAACTCTTTTTGCTTCTTTTTCTAGTCTCAATTAAGTCAAAGACACCACAGTTTGGTGTTAGGGAGAGTAAAGCCTCTCCCCAATGTGCTGATCTCGCTTTGTGATAGAATGGGCTTAATCTCAGATGCTTCAGCAGGCATCTCGACTACTTTGTTTTTATCATACTTATGTATAAAAGTATGGGTTTCCACAGTATTACAATGTTTCCTTTAAAATAAACATACATAGGGGCACCTGGGTGGCTTAGTCAGTTAAGCGTCCGACTTTCGCTTAGGTCATGATCTCGCAGTTCATGGGTTCGAGCCCCGCGTTGGGCTCTGTGCTGACTGCCAGCTCAGAGCCTGGAGCCTGTTTCAGAGTCTGTCACTCCCTCTCTCTCTGACCCTCCCCTGCTCATGCTGTCTCTCTCTCTCTCTCTCCTAGAAATAAATAAAACATTTAAAAATTTTTTGAAAAAAAAATAAACATACATAGTACACCAGTATTCACAACAACATTCACAATAGCCAAAAGGCAGAAACAACCGAACGGTTTATCACCAGATGAATGGATAAACAAAGAGCCGTATACATTATTCAGTCACAAAAAGGAAGGAAATTCGGACACAAGCTACAGAATGAATGAATCTTAAAAATATCACAAAGTAAAATAAACTAGACACGAAAGGACAAATGTATGATTCTACTTATATAAGGTACCCAGAATAGGTAAATTTGTAAAGCTAGAAAGTAGAATAGGGGTCTACTAAAAAATAGAAAATACTAAAAAAAAAAAAAAGAACAGAACAGACTATGGGGTGGGGGTACTGGGGAGTTGTTTACTGGGTAGAGTTTCTGGCTGGGACGATAAAACAGTTCTGGAAATAGATAACTGGTGATGATTATACTACACTGTGAATGTATTTAACCCCAATGTAGTGTACACTTTAAAACAACTAAAATGATACATTTTATGTTACGTACATATATAGTTTTAAATGCTTATTTATTATTTTGAGAGGGAGGGAGAGAGAGAGAGAGGGAGGGGGGAGAGAGGAAGACAGACAGACGGGGTGGGGGGGGGAGCAAGAAGAAAGACTCTCGAGCAAGTCCCCGCAGTCAGTGCGAGCCTGTGCCTGAGGATCAGGACTTAATCCCACATCCCACTAACCAACCCAATCCCACTAACCAAAGTGTCAGATCAAGAGTCAGCTGTTAACCACTTAACCTACTGAGCCACCCAGGCACTCCTTATGTTCTCTGTATTTTACCACAACAAAAGCGTTAAAAAAAACTACTATAAAAAAATGTATATACATAAAAAAGCAAGTTGCTTTCGAGACATAAATATGTAAGTAGATGATAATACAAGTGGAAGGAAGGCCCGGCAGGACAGTCTGGCAAAAGAACTGCGTGGAAAGAACACCAAGCTCCTGGTTTTTCTTCTCTCCCCTCGCTCCCTGCACCACCTGGTTCCAAACAGGTGTCCTGCTTCCTGCCCCGGCTTTCCACAAACACCTGAGCCCCCAGGGAGCCTGGAAACCCCTTCTCTGAGGTCAAGCCCAGGTTGCCTGGATGGCTCCTGAGGCACTTAATTACCTTCACTACCCACCCAACCCTGGTTCACTTGCCTGTGCTATTAAACATATTACTATTATTTAACTTGAAAAATAACATCTACTGAAAAATAAATTCAACAAAATTGAAGCACATAAAAGTGGACTACAACTCCCCCCACCCCCCGGCTGCCACCGCTCAGAACGGGGGCCACCAGCTCGCAGGCCTCCCGGGCCATACAGCACCCCCAAGGGGACAGTTGCTGGTTCTCTGCAGGGCAGAATGTGGGCCTGGTGTTAAGGGAGTTTCTGGAGGTGGGTGCGGGATGGGCTAGAAGGGGGCCGGGCATGAAGGAGGTCACTTGCTGGGGTGAGCACTGGGTGTCACTTAATACAAGTGATGAGTCACTGGGTTCTACTCCTGAAGCCAGTACTACACTGTATGTTAACTAACTTGAATTTAAATAAATATGTTAAATATAAAATAAAATAATAGATACAAGTTAAAAAAAAGTTTCTGCTTCTTCAAGAGTAGCTTGAGGTTCAATGTTCTATAGAGGTAAGATTTTAAAATAAAACTAACGCTTTTTAAATTGTTTAAAGATCAATTTCAATTTTGAGCAACTGATTTGAAATCAAACACGATCAAAACATATCAGGCTGTATCTGGGAGCTGGGGAGGTGACAGCCTGGGTCCCCTGCCCTGGGACGAGCTGGAGGAGGGCAGAGACACTGTTCCCAGTGGGCTCCGGGCGGCCAGCACAGACCCATTCCCCACCCCCCCCACCCCCCCACCCCTGCCCAGGGGAGTCCTGGCACAGCAGGAGCTCCGCGTAGATTCTGAGACTCCATTTAATGCACACAATACTTCCCGAGTATTATTTATAACAGTTTCAAACTGTGTTTTAGGTCAAACTGCGCGGCTCGTTTTGCAAATGTTACACCCCACAGTTTCACAGGTGACTGAGTCCTCGCACCTAGGAGCTGAATCAAAACAGGAAGGGTCTGAATGTGATCAAGTTTAGCCACCTCATTCTTTAATATTTTGAAATACTTGAGCCTTCTTTCCGTCCTCAAAATCTATTCCGTCACGTACTTCTTACTCTCAGTACTCAGCCTGGGCGCACACGGAGTGCGAGCGTCACTTAGTCCTCCCACCGCAAGATGCTGCTCCTGCTCCACCCACTGTGAGCACAGGGCAGGACACCCACGCCCTGAGGACAGCGTGGGGGGGTGGCGCACAGAGAACACACAGGGTCAGGTCTGGGCAGAAGAGGCTCAACTCAACTACTTTCTAGCTCTGTGGTGTGGGACATGTCTCAACCTCTCTGTGGTGGCTTTCCTTATCTGTAAAAACAGAGTGATGACAGAATGTGGTCATCTGCCTCCCTCACATGGTTGTCATGAGGGCGACGTGAGCTGCAGTGTATACAGCACGCTGTAAGCTCTGCTGCGGGACAAATACGCTTTATCTTCGGCTGTGGGGATAACCACTGGTAAGTGTATTATGCTAATTAGAGACTTCCCCCAGATAGCAGGTGAGTCTAAGGTTATAAAAATGCAAATAAGTAACAAAACATGACACTGAGGGCTCTAGCGTTAACTTGATGTTAGTGTGAGATGGATGCTTTTTCAGAAAAGTCAGATGTAATGATATCAACCCTAATCCAAGAAAATGTTAGAAAATTCACAGGACAGGTGATGGGCACAGAGGAGGGCACTTGGGGGGATGAGCACTGGGTGTTATATGGAAACCAACTTGACAATAAACTGTGAAGGGAAAAAAAATTTTTTTTAAGTAAAAAAAAATTCATGGGACAATATAAACTTCCCTGATAGTGAAGCAATAAGTCACCGTTAACTAACCATCAGTGTTGCCAAAATGAAAGGTAATCAATAAGAATCATTAAGTTGGGTAAACCTACCTTCCAATTTGCCAATTTTTTAAACTCTATAATTTTTATAACTGCTCCCATGAGAATACCTGGAAGAGAAAACATAAAGTTGAGCATCGTTTAAGATATGAGAAACATTACTCGGGTTTATTGTTCTAGAGAATCTGATGATTACATCTTTAAAGAGCTTTTATGGATTTCTGCACGTCTTATGTCTGAAAGCTAAGAATGGCAATCAAGGTGAAGTTCTGAGTCACAGGTTTCCTCCTCACTTGCATCTCAGGTAAACATACCATAACGAAGTCCGTGACAATCTGGGGGCAGGGGTGCGTGCGGCCGGGGGAAGGAAAAGCTTGACAAAACAAGACCCAGTCTGCTGGGCATGTGACATTTGATGGCTGTCAGTTTTGCCACATCCGCCCATTTTCAGTGTGAAACGACAGAAAGCTTACATGCTAAGTTTGCCTTTATGCTGCTTATTCCTACCGTTTTCCAAAAAGAAGCCTGGATCACTTTCTTAGACTCGGATGGCAGCTCTATGTAGAGCACTTCGTTAGAGATAAAACCCCAATGCTAAAAATAACCTAAAGTAAAAATTCTGTGAAATTCTTGGAACAAAACAGACCATCTAAGTTCAAGCATGTTTCCTTAAGGCTGACAGGCTCATTACTCTCTCATAAAGAACCTACCGAAAATAATTCCCAAAGAAGCATCACGGGTACCATTGAAGACTGCTCTGTTACTCACTAGATAAATGATTTTTAACCCTGTTGATTCCTCAGAATCACCATGGGAGCTTTCTGTAAGGAAGACACCTGAGCAGCACTCCAGACCTACGAAATCACAGTCTCTGGTAGGGAGTGATGCACAGCAGGCCTGAAGCCCACCGTCCACCTTAAACACAAAGACCTACCTCCCCCTGCAGAGGAAGGAGCTTTTCCCCCCGTGGGCAACAGAAAAGCTGAAGAAAGACGCTTTGGCAGGTGGGGCGAGGAGACAATACTAGAACAGACAAGTTTATCTGGAAAAGGAACTGCACTAACACTCATCGCTGTTGGGAAGGGGGGGTTCAGATGAAGAGAAAAGTAGTTATAATAAGTAATTATAAACCTCTCTGCTACCTGACCTGGTCCATATTGTTAAAACAGTAACAAAATTACTTGGAAAGATAGACCAAGGCAAAATGGATCTGAGCTGTACAGGGAGTCAATGAGCCTATTTTCAAAATAGAAGTTGCCCAATTCACTTGCCAGGTGGCATGAAAGCACTGATTCTAATCTCTCCAGGAGGGTTCCCCAACTGCTTCTTTTTTCTTTTCAAACTGTGTATACATTTTAAGGACTGTTTTTTAATGTTTATTTATTTTTGAGAGAGAGACAGACAGAGAGATCCACGCTACAAGGTGGATGAATCTTGGAAACATGCTAAGTGAAAGAAGCCAGGCACAAAAGACATGTATTTTAGGGCCCATTTCTATGAAACATGCAGGAGAGGCAAATTTGTAGAGACAGAAATAGCTGCCTTGGGCTGGGAAGAGGGGCTTGGGGCTGATAGCTAATGGGAATGGGTTTCTTTTTGGGGTGATGAAAATGTTCTAAAATCGACTGTGGTGATGGCTGCACAAGTTTGCGAATAAACTAAAACCTACTGGATAAGTACATTTTAAATGGGTAACTTGCATCATACGTGAATGATACCTCAATAAACCCATTATATTAAAAGCAAGGCTATAGATTGCATGAGTCCACTGATACAAAATGTGTGGAACAGGCAAATCCATAGAGACAGGAAGCAGGATGGAGGTTGCCAGAGGAGGGGGAAAACAGAAGATGGGAAGTGATTCTTAGTAGGTAGGTAGAGGGTTTCTTTTTTTTTAAAATTTTTTAATGTTTTATTTCTGAGAGAGAAAGAGAGGGAGAGAGGGAGAGCAGCGTGAGCAGGGGAGGGTCAGAGAGCGAAGGAGACACAGAATCCAAAACAGGCTCCAGGCTCTGAGCTAGCCATCAGCACAGAGCCTGACGCGGGGCTCGAATCCACGGACTGGGAGATCATCACCTGAGCCAAAGTTGGACGCTTAACCGACTGAGTCCCCCAGGCGCCCCAGGTAGAGGGTTTCTTTTTGCGGTGAGAACATTTTGTAATTAGCGGAGAGGTTGCATGGCCCTGTGAGCATAACCCCTAATGCTGTGAAGTATACAGTATGAGAATTATATTTTAATTTTTTCAAGATTCACAATGTTTAAAGGCAGTCCCCGGATGATCGCAGCTCCCACCGGACGCCGCTCGCAGCGGACCTGCGTGGACCTGCCGTTTCACGCCTCTTTGTGGAAGTTTCCCTAGAGCAGATCCAGAGACGGCGAACGGCACCGCACACCTTTATCTCTTGAGAAGGCTGCCCACCTGTCCTCCGAAGCGCTGCACCAACTTCCACCGCGGCACCAGAGCACTCCCACATTCTCGCCGACCCTGGATAATCACCCAACTGACACTGCTGCCAATACGAGGGGCAAGAAATTTGCATTGCTCCCCTCTGCATGTGACAGTTCGCCTGCACTCAGTAATCACTCCCGATTCCTGGGGAAGTGAGCCTCTTTTCCTGGTTCCTGATTTCATTTTTAAAGCTAGCACTTTTCTGCTCTGCTAAAACCTCAACTTTCTCTTTCCCTTGTAAATGTATACCAAACTTTAATACCATGGTTAATGCTTTTGTAATTACATGTGGAGCAGCTGCATTTGAAAACTCATTATTCATAATTATTATTATATCTATTGACTAGAATAATTATTCTATTGCCTAAGCTTGTTTCTATATTATTATTTATGAGGCACTGGAAAGCTTCCTAAAATACGACGTGATATTATCACTACTGTTACACTATTACTACTTGAGCAATTGTTTTTAAAAATTTTTTAATGTTTATTTTTGAGGGAGACAGCACGAGCAGGGGAGGAGCAGAGAGAGACAGGGAGACACAGAATCCGAAGCAGGCTCCAGACTCTGAGCTGTCAGCACAGAGCCCGACGCAGGGTTAGAACTCACGAGCCGTGAGATCATGACCCGAGCTGAAGTCAGACACTTAACAGAGTGAGCCGCCCAGGCGCCCCCAGGATAGGTCACTTTTAATTGTTTCTAATCCTCCAGAGAATGCTTCAGGTAGGAAGGCTGAGAGAGTTGAAGTAGCGGGTCTAATGGCTCAGAACCAGCAAGGAACACATCCTACAACTTCATGATGCTAAGACACAGCAGGCTGCACCTGCCGTTACAATCTGTGAACCCTCACCTCCCTCCCAGGGTGCATTGCTACTCTTCCACCATCACTGCACTACATTCCTGATCATCAATGTTACAGGAAAGACATTTAAAATGTCTTAAGGATGATAATTAGGTTGCAAAACCTGATCCCAATTCCCTTAAAAAAGATTGTGTGTGTGTGTGTGTGTGTGTGTGTGTGTGTATACACACACACACATATGGACACACATGTATTTATTTGCCCTGTGTGCCAGGCACTGTGCTGATGTATAAAATGCACATTATTTTAATTCATTTCCACAATTACCCTGCAAGGCAATAAACCATGATAATAATAGATGATAATACTAATAGCGACAGCTAATAGTTACTGATTACATAGCAGGTAGGCATTATACTAAGTGATTTCTATGCATTACTGTGTTTAATATCTTTAATTCTAGGAAGTGAAGGCACTGTCACCTGCATTTTACAGATAAGGAAACAGAGGCTAAGGCCCAGCATCTTACCTAGTAAACAGGTACAGAATTGCTTACAAATGAATTGTTTTCTCTTTATTTCACTATGTAACAGATGCACATGGCACACAATATTTAAAGGTACCAAAGAGTATTCAGTGAAAACTTGAGTGTCCGGGCTTTTTTCTAGGCTGTTGCTATCACTGCCCTTCCCACCTGAGTAAATATATGATTCCCCCTCCCCCCATCATTGTGGGGGGGGGGGCATCCAGAAGAAAAACCCCTGAAGAGGGATTGCTGGGTCAAGGGTACAAGCATTTTTTAAAATTTTTTTATTTTTTTAATAGTTTATTGTCAAGTTGGTTTTCATATAACACCCAGTGCTCATCCCCACAAGTGCCCTCCTCCATGCCTATCAGCCCCCTTCCCTTCTCCCCCAGCCCCCTCAGCCCTCAGTTTGTTCTCAGTATTCAAGAGTCTCTCATTGTTTGCCTCCCTCCCTTTCCCCACTATTTCCCCCCTTCTTCTCCCCCATGGTCCTCCGTTAAGTTCCTCCTAATCCTCCTATACGTGCAGACATATGGTGTCTGTCCTTCTCTGCCTGACTTATTTCGCTCAGCATAACACACTCGAGTTCTATCCACGTTGCTACACATGGCCAGATTTCATTCTTTCTCATTGCCATGTAGTATTCCATTGTATAGATAAACCACATCTTCTTGATCCATTCGTCCATGGATGGACACTTAGGCTCTTTCCATGTTTTGGCTATTGTTGAGAGTGCTGCTATGAACATTGGGGTACATGTGCCCCTATGCATCAGCACTCCGGGTACAGGCATTTTTAATTCTCACGCCACGAGGCCTGCCCAGCTCTCTTGGCTGCGCTTACCTGCGTTAAGCTGCTGCGAAGGCCGCTGCTAAGCACTCACACCTGTCCCCTTCTCCGCAAGAGTGCCCTCAGCTGCCCAGAGGCACCTTAGCAGGAAGCTGGGCCCACCTGCACCAGTCCACAGCCAATGACTGACTAACAGGGCGTTAGAGCGCAGCCCCTTCGCTTTAAAGAGGGACCTCCATCCACAGTGTGGGTTCTCGCCCCAGAGCGCCCTCCTGCTGAGGCTCCGACTGGGCTTAAGCTGAGATCCCACCCGGTGTTTGGCTTTTTTCCTCCCCTAGTCTGGTGTCCTCACAAATTCATTCGTGAAGAGCATCCCTCGATAAATTACATGTGGCCAAGGACCTGTCTCAGAGTCTGCTTTTAGATGGCCACCTTAAGACAACTGGTTCCGGGAGCGGAGTGGTTACTGAGAGTGGTTACTGACGGGATGCACTCTTGAAGGAGGCTCCCGGAGGAGGAGGGGGATGTGGTCGCTCAGCAG